CGAAGGATCCACCGTTCACCTGGAGTCAGGAGCGTCAGAAAGCTTTCGACCTACTGAAGCAGAAAATGACTTCAACCCCGGTCCTTGCCTATGCTGACTATGCCCTCCCATTCACTGTCCAGACAGATGCCTCGGCCGATGGGTGTTGGGCAGTTCTCACACTTGTGCAAGATGGACGAGAGCGGCCAATAGCATACGCCAGTCGCACCCTTACACCGTCAGAGGCCAAGTATCCTGCTCATAAGCTGGAGTTCCGAGCTCTCCATTGGGCAATAACGGTGAAGTTCCGCAATTACCTCTATGGTCAAGATGTCACTGCAGTCACCGACAACAACCCACTCACTTACATTCTCAAAACGGCCAAGCTGGATGCTTATGGTCAGCGATGGGTTAGTGATTTGTCTAAGTTTAAGTTGGACATAATCTACCGGCCCGGTCACGCCAATGGCAGTGCAGCTGCACTGTCACGGATTGTCAGGGATGAAGTATCTTGCGTCTTTGGTACCAATGAAGTGGGGATGGACAGATCGGAGGATAAGTTGGCGAGCGAAGAACAGAATGGGGGAGAGAAGGTATCAGCACAGTTGCAGGCTCAAGAAGTAACGTCGCGCGCCAAGAGAAGGTCCCAGTATTTCGGGTGATGAATCAGTTTCAACTGCCCACGACAACCTCATCCCAGGTACAAGCCTTGTTCAGAGTGTTGACCTCCTCTCAGCACAGCTGAGAGATGAAGCCATCTCCAGGGTTATATACCTGAAGGGCATACGAGAAGGAAGACCATGCAAGAGGCAACTGGACAAGAAACCAGTGCTGTCCGTCGGCTGTTGAGGAGTTGGGACCGATTGGAGGTAAGACGCAATCTCCTTGTTCATCGTCCGGGTGGTGATGCAGCTGGCCGGCAGTACCTCCTTGTCATACCAGTAGACCTTCGATCACAGGTGTTACAACACCTTCATGACTCGATGGGGCATCTTTGTCTCGACAAGACACTACACCAAGCTAGGGAGAGGTGTTTATGGCCTGGCCTCTATTCTGACATCCGTGCTTACATCAAGAAGTTCAGACGGTGCACACTCAGGAAGACGCTAGACACCTGAAGACAGACAACGCTGGAAAGTATCCGCACTACACGCCCGCTGGAGCTAGTCTGCATCGACTTCTTGAGCCTAGAAAGGTCAAAGGGTGGCTATGAACACGTTCTGGTCATAACCAATAATTACTCCAGATACACCCAGGCATACCCCACCAAAGATGAAAAAGCGACGACTGTGGCCAAGGTGTTGTGGGAGAAATTTGTGGTCAATTATGGGATTCCAGAGAGGCTGCACTCTGACCAGGGCAAGTCCTTTGAGTCAGATGTGATAAAGGAGTTGTGTAAGCTGCTTGGGGTGAAGAAGACCCGAACCACACCATATCACCCCCAGGGGAATGAAATGATGGAACGTTGGAACCGGACGCTGATGTCAATGTTGGGGACACTCAATCCGGAGCAGAAGGTCAACTGGGCTATATATGTGTGCGTCCTGACCCATGCATACAACTGCACCCAACATGAGTGTACTGGGTATTCCCCATTTTATCTGATGTTCATGCGGAGGCCCAAGTTACCCGTAGACATCCTCATCCCATCAACACAAGACAACGAGGCAGAGCAAAGGCCCGACCACAATTACCCCCGCTATGTCCGGCGCCTCAGACAGCACATGCATGACGTTTACTGGGAAGTCCAGACGACAGCTGAAAGGGCCAGGA